TGCGGAGGTGAGCTGTGGATGGTGGGTGCAGAGGTGAGCTGTGGATGGTGGGTGCACAGGTGAGCTGTGGATGGTGGGTGCAGAGGTGAGCTGTGGATGGTGGGTGCAGAGCTGAGCTGTGGATGGTGGGTGCAGAGGTGAGCTGTGGACTGGGGTGCAGAGGTGAGCTGTGGACGGTGGGTGCAGAGGTGACCTGTGGACGGGGGGTGCAGAGGTGAACTGTGGACGGGGGGTGCAGAGCTGAGCTGTGGACGGGGGGTGCAGAGGTGAGCTGAGGACGGGGGGTGCAGAGGTAAGCTGTGGATGGGGGGTGCAGAGGTGACCTGTGGATGGTGGGTGCAGAGGTGAGCTGTAGACGGGGGGTGCAGAGATGAACCACAGACAGGGTGCAGAGGTGAGCTGTGGATGGGGGTGCAGAGCTGAGCTGTGGACAGCAGTGCAGAGGTGAGCTGTAGATGGGGGTGCAGAGCTGAGCTGTGGATGGGGGGGTGCAGAGGTGAGCTGTGGATGGGTGCAGAGCTGAGCTGTGGATGGGGGTGCAGAGGTGAGCTGTGGACGGTGGGTGCAGAGCTGAGCTGTGGACGGTGGGTGCAGAGCTGAGCTGTGGACGGGGGGTGTGCAGAGGTGTGCTGTGGACGGAGGGTGCAGAGGTAAGCTGTGGATGGGGGGTGCAGAGGTGACCTGTGGATGGTGAGTGCAGAGGTGAGCTGTAGATGGGGGTGCAGAGCTGAGCTGTGGATAGTGGGTGCAGAGCTGAGCTGTGAATGGTGGGTGCAGAGGTGAGCTGTGGATGGTGGGTGCAGAGGTGAGCTGTGGATGGGGGGTGCAGAGGTGACCTGTGGATGGTGGGTGCAGAGGTGAGCTGTGGATAGGGGGTGCAGAGGTGACCTGTGGATGGGGGTACAGAGCTGAGGTGTGCATGGTGGGTGCAGAGCTGAGCTGTGGATGGTGGGTGCAGAGGTGAGCTGTGGATGGGGGTGCAGAGGTGAGCGGTGGATGGTGGGTGCAGAGCTGAGCTGTGGATGGGGGTGCAGAGGTGAGCTGTGGATGGGTGCAGAGCTGAGCTGTGGATGGGGGTGCAGAGGTGAGCTGTGAATGGTGGGTGCAGAGCTGAGCTGTGGATGGTGGGTAGAGAGCTGAGCTGTGGATGGGGGTGCAGAGGTGAGCTGTGGATGGGTGCAGAGCTGAGCTGTGGACGGGGGGTGCAGAGGTGAGCTGTGGACGGTGGGTGCAGAGCTGAGCTGTGGACGGGGTGTGCAGAGGTGTGCTGTGGACGGAGGGTGCAGAGGTAAGCTGTGGATGGGGGGTGCAGAGGTGACCTGTGGATGGTGGGTGCAGAGGTGAGCTGTAGATGGGGGTGCAGAGCTGAGCTGTGGATAGTGGGTGCAGAGGTGAGCTGTGGATGGTGGGTGCAGAGCTGAGCTGTGGATGGGGGGTGCAGAGGTGAGCTGTGGATGGTGGGTGCAGAGGTGAGCTGTGTATGGGGGGTGCAGAGGTGACCTGTGGATGGTGGGTGCAGAGGTGAGCTGTGAATGGGAGTACAGAGCTGAGCTGTGGATGGTGGGTGCAGAGCTGAGCTGTGGATGGTGGGTGCAGAGGTGAGCTGTGGATGGGGGTGCAGAGGTGAGCTGTGAATGGTGGGTGCAGAGGTAAGCTGTGGATGGCGGGTGCAGAGGTGACCTGTGGATGGTGGGTGCAGAGGTGAGCTGTGGATGGTGGGTGCAGAGGTAAGCTGTGGATGGCGGGTGCAGAGGTGACCTGTGGATGGTGGGTGCAGAGGTGAGCTGTGGATGGTGGGTGCAGAGGTAAGCTGTGGATGGCGGGTGCAGAGGTGACCTGTGGATGGTGGGTGCAGAGGTGACCTGTGGATGGTGGGTGCAGAGGTAAGCTGTGGATGGCGGGTGCAGAGGTGACCTGTGGATGGTGGGTGCAGAGGTGAGCTGTCGACGGGGGGTGCAGAGGTGACCTGTGGATGGGGGTGCAGAGGTGACCTGTGGATGGGGGGTGCAGAGGTGAGCTGTGGATGGGGGTGCAGAGGTGAGCTGTGGACGGGGGTGCAGAGCTGACCTGTGGATGGTGGGTGCAGAGGTGATCTGTGGACGGGGGTGCAGAGCTGAGCCGTGGATGGTGGGTGAAGAGCTGAGCTGTGGATGGTGGGTGCAGAGGTCAGCTGTGGATGGTGGGTGCAGAGGTGAGCTGTGGATGGTCAGTGCAGAGCTGAGCTGTGGATGGTGGGTGCAGAGCTGAGCTTTGGATGGGGGGTGCAGAGGTGAGCTGTGGATGGGGGGTGCAGAGGTGACCTGTGGACGGGGGTGCAGCCCCCCATTTGCAGCTCACCTATGCACCCTGTCTGCAACTCACCTGTCAATTTACCTCTGCAACACCTGACTGCAGCTCACCTTTGCACATCCCCCCTCCACTGTCCACATATAGTTAGCTAGCTTTGCATAACACAGCTGGCTCCTCTCTATAGTAACTCACGTTTCGGGTCCTATCTTCCCACACAGTGCCCCACGCGCATTCACCGCTCCGCTTCCTCCCTACTCGCCGGCAATCACCCCTGGGGCATTGGCTTCCATGCATTATGCTGCAGGACGAGATGCCCCGCCCCTAAAAACACTGCACCCTCAGATATCTGTTCCTTCCCTGTCCCACAGTAAGTACAGAGGTAGGGGGGTTCTGTGGGAGCGGATGGTGCTGTCACTTACAAGAGGGATTGTCACTTGGAAACACAAAAGCCACGCTTCTGTGTTCATAGGAGACAGTAGATATTGGTGTGCACAGGGCCAGTGCCGGAGGTGGCGGAACAGTGTTCCGCCACGTTCCGGGTGAAAAAAAGCTCTGATCACAACTAGGTCTTATTTTCGGGGAAGCAGAGTATCTCTAGGTGGGTGTATATTTTTGTAGGTGTGTACATTTATAGGTAAGTAGGTGTATATCTATCGGTAGATGTGTATATCTCAAGGTATGGTGTATGTCAGCAGATGTATATATCTCTGGATATCTTTAGATAGGTGTAAATCCTCTACGCAGGTGTATATATCTAGATAAGTAAGTATATATCTCTAGGTACGTGTATATCTCTAGGTACGTGTATAAATTTCTAGGTAAAGTGTATCTCTTGGTAGGTGTATATCTCTAGGTAGGTAAGAAAGTATATACCTTTAGGTAGGTGTTTATATCTCTAGATAGGTGTTTTTCTCTTTAGCTTTGTGTATTTCTATGTAGGTGTGTATATTTCTAGGTAGGGAGGCATGTATCTCTGGTTGGGTAAGTATCTCTCTAGGTAAGTAGGTATGTATATCTCTAGGTAGGTACATGTTTAGGTAGGTGTGTATATCTCCAGGTAGGTAGGTGTGTATCTCTAATAAGGAGTGTTCATCACTAGTTTGGGAGCAGGGGTGGACTGACAACTCATGGGGCCCCCGGGCAATAGGGGATCATGGGGCCCCTGTTTCCTCACCCACAGCCAAAAAAAGCCTATGAAAAAGCCTATAAAAAGGTACCAGGGGCATCTCATGGGGCCCCCTACTGACCCCGGGCCCTCGGTCAGTGCCCGAGTGGCCAAATGGTCAGTCCACCCCTGGTTGGGAGTATATCTTTAGGTTGACTTGTTCTGTATATCTCTAGTAAGGGTTGTTTTACTAGGCAGGTGTATATATCACTGGGTGGGTAGGTGTGTGTCTTTAGGTTGATATATCTCTAGGACTGCATATATCTCTATGTAGGTAGCTTTATATCTCCAGGTAGGTGTACATCTCTAAGCAGGTAGGAGTATATCTCTAGGTAAGTAGGAAAGTATATACCTTTAGGTAGGTGTTTATATCTCTAGATAGGTGTTTTTCTCTTTAGCTTTGTGTGTTTCTATGTAGGTGTGTATATTTCTAGGTAGGGAGGCATGTATCTCTGGTTAGGTAAGTATCTCTCTAGGTAAGTAGGTATGTATATCTCTAGGTAGGTACATGTTTAGGTAGGTGGGTATATCTCCAGGTAGGTAGGTGTGTATCTCTGATAAGGAGTGTTCATCACTAGTTGGGAGTATATCTTGTTCTGTATATCTCTAGTAAGGTATGTTTTACTAGGCAGGTGTATATATCACTAGGTGGGTAGGTCTTTAGGTTGATTTATCTCTAGGACTGCATATATCTCTATGTAGGTAGCTTTATATCTCTAGGTAGGTGTACATTTCTAAGCAGGTAGGAGTATATCTCTAGGTAGGTATGTGTATATCTAGGTGTAAAGCTCTGGGTAGATTTATATCTCTAGGTAGGTACTGTATGTGTTTATATCTAGCTAGATATGTGAATTTCTCTAGATAGATAGGTGTATGTCTCTAGGTTGGTGTAAAGCTCTAGGTAGGTTTATATCTCTAGGTAGGTAGATGTGTGAATTTCTCTAGATAGGTAGTTGTATATCTCTAGGTAGGTGTGTATATTTGTGGGCTGGTCTGCAGTGTCACCACCTCATTCCCTGACTGTATGAGAGGACACGGTTCTGTGGTTGGAGTAATGGAGCTCATGCTGAGTGGATCTAATTATCGTTGATCTGTGTCCTTTTCATGGGGTCATTGGATGAGATGGTGACGCTAGACACCAGTCTTGTGGGTGGCATCAGATCCTGATCTGGTTAGGGGCCCCATCTGTGGAGCCCAGTGAATATGGTGCACAACAAACTATGCTGGTGATATGGGAAATGCCTACCAGGGCAGATCTCCATGATCCACTGACGTAGAGAGGTGAGGTGGCTCCTCCATATTGTTCACATGATCTTGGCCTCCTTCTTTCAGGCTCCTGCTCTGGATGACCTCCAATGATCGACCTCTGACCTCCGGATGCTTTCTTAAGCAAGAGAGCTCCAGTCCATGCTCCATGCTGGGTTCACTAACCCATCACAGTCCCAGCGGATCGTCTGACTCCAGTGGCAGCTTTGGCCTTTCTCTGAGTGGTATGGATTCCCCAACAGGGTATGGAGGCCACAGACGTTATGAAAGCTCAGCGAGGATGGGGACTCCCACCAAGAGTGACTACCCACTGACTGTGGGCCCCAAGCGTCTGTGTCTGGTGTGTGGTGACGTGGCCTCTGGCTACCATTATGGTGTGGCATCGTGTGAAGCGTGCAAGGCATTCTTCAAGCGCACCATCCAAGGTAATGAGATGGGGGTGGCAAAGGTATAACAGTGGTGGGTATCAGGATGGGAGTGTTGTCCTTAGAAACGCTATAACCTGATTGGTTTGGATTGGGACCTGATTGGTTGCTATGGCCTAGTGTCACAATGATCGTAATGGTTTCTGGTTTTCCTGCTAATAGCTATGATACCGATGTGAGAAGCCTCAGCTAGAAGCTGGCATTTTCCCACCTGTAGGCCTGTCATTAGTTGTCTTCAACTTTGAGATCTTTTATGGATCTATATCTGTCAGTGAGAGAAAACGTAACGCCTTTCTGTCCAATCACCACACAGGGAACATTGAGTACAGCTGTCCGGCCTCCAAGCAGTGTGAGATCACCAAGCGAAGGAGGAAATCCTGCCAGTCCTGCCGCTTTGCCAAGTGTCTGAAGGTTGGAATGCTGAGAGAAGGTGAGCAGCAACTGCCAGGCACTGCCAAGAGGGATGCCAATGGATGCTTATGGCACCAGTTCTCCTCCTGTCGGAATGACATCCCTGCAGGTGGAGGCAAGACTGGCCCGGTCACACATTCATATGGTCCCATGCGGGTGTGTTCCCTGTGCCAAGAAAACAAATCCACCACACACTGGAGTCTTCTCACAGGAGGCTACTTCCATTCTATGACCATACATAAATATGTATTCATTTTAAGGGGTCAGACTGGACCGTGTACGAGGAGGCCGGCAGAAATACAAGAGGCGCCAGGACCCTGAGGACAACGACTTCACCAGACCACTAATACCCTCTGCCCATAAGAAACCATGTGAGTGCCGCCAAACTGCCCCCACTAAGAGTAAGATTGATATAGAGGACAGCACTGTGAGTTAGAAGGTTATAGAGGCTTGCGCTGGGGGGGAGAGGCATATGGGGGCCGACACTTTGGGGGGAGAGGCATATGGAGGCTGACACTTTGGGGGAGAGGCTTATGGAGGCTGGCAGTTTGGGCGAGAGGCATACGGAGGCCGGCACTTTGGGCAAGAGGCATATGGAGACCGTCACTGTTGGTGAAGAACATATGGAGACCAGCACTGTGGGTGAGGGGGATATGGAGGTCGGCGCTTTGGGGGAGAGGCATATGGAGGCCAGCACTTTGGGCAAGAGGCATATGGAGACCGGCACTGTGAGTGAGGGACATATGGAGACCAGCACTGTGGGTGAAAGGGAGTTGGAGGTCGGCGCTTTGGGGGAGAGGCATATGGAGGCTAGCACTTTGGGCAGGAGGCATATGGAGGCCAGAACTGTGGGTGAAGTACATATGAAGGCCAGCACTTTGGGTGAGGGGCATATAGAGGCTGGCACTGTGAGTGAGGATATAGAGGGTAGCACAATTGGTGAGAGGATAATGATGTTGGCACTGTGGGATCTCTGTGGGTTTGGAATGTCCCCATTGACTTTTGGGAAACAGGATAGCTGTCAGCTTGCTGTAATTACTGTTGCCTTTACATCTAGACATGAGGACGAGGATTGTTTCGTACCTTCTGCTAGCAGAGCCAGAGAAGATCTTTGCCATGGCAGATCCCACTGTTCCTGATAGTGATATCAAAGTGCTGAGCACGCTGGTTGACCTCGCTGACCGAGAACTTGTCATGACCATCGGATGGGCCAAACACATTCCAGGTCAGAAATCATTTTCCACTACCCTCCAATTCACTACTATCTTCCCAGTTCACTAATACCCCCAAATCACTACTACCTCATAATTCACTAATACTCACCTAAATGACTACTACCCACACAATTCACTAATAACGCCCTAATTACTATACTTACCTAATGTACTCCCCAGCTCACTACTATCCACCTCCAATTCACTTCCCATTTCACTAATACCCCCTGAATTCATATCTATCTGTCCAATTCACTAATAAACCCCAACAATTCATACCACTTCCCTAACTGGTTAATGTCGGTCCAATTTACTGTTCTCTACCCAATCTACTAATAACTCCAGTTTACTACTACCCCACCGGTCCACTTACATCCCCAATTTACTACTATCCCCCAATTCACAAATATCACCAAAATGTATTACTATTCCCACAGTTTACCCAAAAAATTCACTTCTATCCACCCGATTTACTAATATCACCAGTTTACTTCTTGACCCAAAATTAATTTATACTCCCAATGTAACACTGTCCTCTAAATCAGGGGTCTCCAAACTTTCTGAACAAAGGGCCAGTTTTCTGGTCTTCTGACTTTAAGGGGGCCAGACTGTAACTAGTGAGAGTGGAAAATGCAGCAGAAATATTGCCCAATCATTGGCGTCAGTAGAAGGAATAGCGCCCTAATATTGGTATCAGTAATGGGAATAGTGCCCCAACATTGGTCAAAGTGGAAGGAATGGTTCCCCAATACTGGTATCAATGAAAGCAAATTTGCCCCAGTACTGGTATCAGTGGAAGGATTGGTGCCCCAACACTGGTGTCAGGAAAGGACTAGTGCCCAACATTGGTGTCAGGAAAGGACTGGTGCTCCAGCATTGGTGTCAGGAAAGGACTGGTGCTCCAGCATTGGTGTCAGGAAAGGACTAGTGCCCCAACATTGGTGTCAGGAAAGGACTGGTGCCCCAACATTGGTGTCAGGAAAGGTCTTGTGCCCCAACACTGGTGTCAGGAAAGGACTGGTGCCCCAACACTGGTGTCAGTGACAGGAATAGTGCACCATCGATGGTATCAGTGGGAGGAAAAGTGCCCCCATCTTTAGTGTTAGCGGGAGTAATAATATTCTGTAGTTTACGTATATCAGTGGGAGGAATTATGTCCCAATGTTGGTGTTAGTGGAAGGAATAGTGCCTCATGTCAGTGGAAAGAAAAGTGCCCCAAGGGCCGGATAAAGGCAAGCAAAGGGCCGCATCTGGCCCTTGGGCTGCAGTTTGGAGACCACTGCTCTAAATCAGTACTATGCCCTCAATTCAGTAATACCTCAAATTCACTACTAGCCACTCAATTCACTAATAACCCCCAATTCAATAATACCACCCCCACAATTGACTAATATGTGCCCAATTCACTACCCCACTATTTAGTACCGATCATGGGGGGCTGAGTGTCTGTCTGTAAACCCCCCCACTGACAGAGCTGTGTACCTGTGTGTGCAGGATTCCCCTCCCTCTCCCTGGCAGATCAGATGTGCCTACTACAAGGAGCCTGGATGGAGATCTTACTGCTGGGAGTTGTGTTCCGCTCTCTGCCGTACCAGGATGAGCTGTTATATGCTGAGGACTACATCATGGACGACATGCGGTCCCGGGTCTGCGGTCTGCACAATCTCTACATCTGTACAATGCAGCTGGTACAACGATACCGCAAACTCCGCATGGACAAGGAGGAGTACGTCACACTGAAGGCCCTAGTGCTCACTAACTCAGGTACATCCACTGTACACACTGCTATGCTGCACACTGACACCCTGCTATTCCTCCACTGTACTGCTCACTGACACCCTGCTGTTCCCCCCATGTCATGCTCACTGACACCCTGCTATTCCTCCACTGTACTGCTCACTGACACCCTGCTATTCCCCCCATGTCATGCTCACTGACACCCTGCTATTCCTCCACTGTACTGCTCACTGACACCCTGCTATTCCCCCCATGTCATGCTCACTGACACCCTGCTATTCCTCTACTGTACTGCTCACTGACACCCTGCTGTTCCTCCACTGTACTGCACATTGACACCCTGCTATTCCCCCCATGTCATGCTCACTGACACCCTGCTATTCCTCCACTGTACTGCTCACTGACACCCTGCTATTCCTCCACTGTACTGCTCACTGACACCCTGCTATTCCTCCACTGTACTGCTCAATGACACCCTGCTATTCCTCCACTGTACTGCACACTGATACCCTGCTATTCCTCCAATGTACTGCACACTGACACCCTGCTATTCATCCACTGTACTGCTCACTGACACCTTGCTATTCCTCCACTGTACTGCTCACTGACACCCTGCTATTCCTCCACTGTACTGCTCACTGACACCCTGCTATTCCTCCACTGTACTGCTCACTGACACCCTGCTATTCCTCCACTGTACTGCTCACTGACACCCTGCTATTCCTCCACTGTACTGCACACTGACACCCTGTTATTCCTCCACTGTACTGCACACTGACACCCTGCTATTCATCCACTGTACTGCACACTGACACCCTGCTATTCATCCACTGTACTGCACACTGACACCCTGCTATTCCTCCACTGTACTGCTCACTGGCACCCTGCCATTCCTCCACTGTACTGCACACTGACACCCTGCTTTTCTTCCACTGTACTGCACACTGACACCCTGCCATTCCTCCACTGTACTGCACACTGACACCCTGCTATTCCTCTACTGTACTGCACACTGACACCCTGCTATTCCTCCACTGTACTGCACACTGACACCCTGCTTTTTCTCTACTGTACTGCACACTGACACCCTGCTATTCCTCTACTGTACTGCACACTGACACCCTGCTATTCCTCTACTGTACTGCACACTGACACCCTGCTATTCCTCCACTGTACTGCACACTGACACCCTGCTATTCCTCTACTGTACTGCACACTGACACCCTGCTATTCCTCCACTGTACTGCACACTGACACCCTGCTATTCATCCACTGTACTGCACACTGACACCCTGCTATTCATCCACTGTACTGCACACTGACACCCTGCTATTCCTCCACTGTACTGCTCACTGGCACCCTGCCATTCCTCCACTGTACTGCACACTGACACCCTGCTTTTCTTCCACTGTACTGCACACTGACACCCTGCTATTCCTCCACTGTACTGCACGCTGACACCCTGCTATTCCTCCACTGTACTATACACTGACACCCTGCTATTCCTCCACTGTACTGCACACTGACACCCTGCTATTCCTCTACTGTACTGCACACTGACACCCTGCTATTCCTCCACTGTACTGCACGCTGACACCCTGCTATTCCTCCACTGTACTATACACTGACACCCTGCTATTCCTCCACTGTACTGTACACTGACACCCTGCTATTCCTCTACTGTACTGCACACTGACACCCTGCTATTCCTCCACTGTACTGTACACTGACACCCTGCTATTCCTCCACTGTACTGTACACTGATACCCTGCTATTCCTCTACTGTACTGCTCACTGACACCCTGCTATTCCTCCACTGTACTGCACACTGACACCCTGCTATTCCTCCACTGTACTGCTCACTGACACCCTGCTATTCCTCCACTGTACTGCTCACTGACACCCTGCTAGTCCTCCACTGTACTGCTCACTGACACCCTGCTATTCCTCCACTGTACTGCTCACTGACACCCTGCTGTTCCTCCACTGTACTGCTCACTGACACCCTGCTGTTCCTCCACTGTACTGCACATTGACACCCTGTTATTCCCCCCATGACCTGTACACTGGCACCCTGCTATTCCTCCATTGTACTGCACACTGACACACTCTATCCTCCCTATGTACTGCACACTGACCCACTGCTATCCTCCCCATGTACTGCACACTGACACCCTATGCTGACACTGCCTGCCCTCACTTTGTTCTCTCTGTCCTGCAGACTCGGCACACATTGAGGACGGGAGGAGTGTTCAGGATTTGCAGGATCTGCTTCAGGAGGCACTACATGAGTATGAGCTGAGCCATCACTGTGATGAGCCGCGGAGAGTCGCTCAGCTTCTGCTCACTCTTCCTCTCCTGCGACAGACTGCCAGCATGGCGGTCCAGCACTTTCACAGTGTGCGGGCTCAGGGCAGAGTGCCAATGCACAAACTATTCCTGGAAATGTTGGAGGCAAAAGTGTGACTGAGCAGAGAGTGGTCCTGGGCTGACATACTGAACCTGTGACCCTATACAAGTCTGGGCATTATAAATGGCAGTACTCCCATCTGTCTGCTGCTTCACTGGCACATGTGATATGACAGACAGAGGGCACCTCCAGCATGGGACCTTCCTTCCAGGAGATCAGAATTCCAACAAACTTGTGTGAGGGCCCATCACATCCTGAGAAAGTGGGCTCTGCACCCCTGACTGCACCCCTCTGTTCCTGATTCAACCTTTCTGTCCCTGTCTGAACCCCCCTATCCCTGACTGCACCCCTATGTCCCCCACTAAACTGCTCTGTCCCTAACTGCACCCCACTTTCCCTGACAGAACACCCCTGTGTCCCCCACTAAACCTCTCTGTCCCTTACAGATTCTCTGTGTCCCAAACTGCACTGCTATGTCCCCCATTAAACCCATCTGTTCCTGACTAAACCCCTATGTCCCTGGCTGTAACTCTATGTCCCTGACTTCTCTTTTCTGTCCCTGATTGAACCCCCTGTCCCTGAATGAACCCCTCTGTCCGTGACTGAATCCCTATGTCCCTGACTGTAACTCTATGTCCCCAACTACACTCCTGTGTCCAAATCTACACCCCTCATCTGCACCCCTCTGTTCCTGATTCAACCTCTCTATCCCTGTCTAAACCCCCTATCCCTGACTGCACCCCTATGTCCCCCGCTAAACTTTGCTGTCCCTGACTAAATCCCTATGTCCCTGACTGTAACTCTTTGCCCTTGGCTGCACCTCTCTGTCCCTGACTGAACCTCCTGCCCCTAACTGCACCCCACTTTGCCTGACAGAACACTCCTGTCCTGAGCTGCACCCCTGTGTCTGCACACTAAACCCCTCTGTCCCTGATTGAACCACTATGTCTCTGTCTGAACTCCCTGGCCCTAACTGCACCCATATGCCCTCCATGAACCCCTCTGTCCCTGATTAAATCCTTATTCCCCTGATTATAACCCTGTGCCCCTGGCTGCACCTCTATGTCCCTGACTGAACCTCCTGTGCCTAACTACACCCCACTTTCCCTTACTGAACACCCGATTTGAACTGCACCCCTGTGTCCCTTACAGAATCTCTGTGTTCCAGACTGTACCCCTATGTCCCCCATTAAACCCTTCTGTTCCTGACTAAACCCCATGTCCCTGGCTGTAACTCTGTGTCCCCGACTGCACTTCTCTGTCCCCGACTGCTCTTCTCTGTCCCAACTGCACTTCTCTGTCCCTGATTAAACCCCCTGTCCCTGAATGAACCCCTGTCCCAGGATGAACCCCCTGTCCCTGATTGAACCCCTGTCCCTGGATGAACCCCTCTGTCCGTGACTGAACCCCTATATCCCTGACTGTAACTATATGTCCCCAACTGCACTCCTGTGTCCCAATCTGCACCCCTCTGTTTCTGGCTGCACCACTCTGTCTCTGACAGCACCCACCTGACCCCAACTCCACTCCTATTTTAAAGACTGCACCTCACTATCACTGACTGATCCCCTCTGTCCCTGATGGCACCCCATTATCCCTGCCTGCACTTTGTGTCCCCGACTGCTCCCCTCTGTCCTTGAATTTAACTCTCTGTCCCTGAATGCAACTCTGGTCTTGACTGCACTCCTATGTCCCTTTTTTTATCCACCACACCTGGCTGGACCCTCCATTCCTGACTACACCCCTCTGTCCTTGACTGTACCCATCCACTCCATGCTCTCTATCCCCTGGTGTATCTGGCCTTTCTTTTTGTGCCTGCTCCTGGCCACTCCGTCACTAGTGCTCCGGGCCCCTCTATCACCCACTGTGGTGGCCCCCCTTGTCCTTAGCTTCATCCAGCCTCTCATTCCTTGCCTCCCCACTTTGGCAGACGCTCCTCAGGATAAAACTTCCCTCACTTTTTTCTTCAACATGTATCATTTGTTGGTGATGTATCGGCAGGGATCCTCATGGGTGGGGCAGACAATTTACCCACACAATGGTCAGAGCACCTACTCTTCAGGAATTAGATGAGTCCTCCCATCTCTTCTCCTGAGGACCCGCCTTCGTCTCCTGAGGACCCGCCTTCTTCTCCTGGAAATGTTCTTTCTACAATTGCACAAAATCACCTTTTCTGCTATTTATTGATTTCTGATTTACCTGACAGAATAGATTCAGGGACTCATTTGGGTATATCCAAACTGAAATGAATCCTGATTAAAGACAGACAATTCACAGATGAGGTGGAGCCTCTGTGAAGGTCATAAGAATTTCCTGTCTGCAAATCAGAATAAAATCCCTGCAATCCCATCTTTGTAATGTGTGTTATGAGAGATCCATTCCTCTATGTCTGTCTCCTCTCCGCTGGACGCACAGAGCAGTGCAGTTGGGGCCGGGTCAGTTTTTCCGAGTCTCGGCCATCGATGGCATCTCTCTGACCTTCTCACTAAATTATTTATTAAACCTAACTATTAAATTATTATTATCTTTCACTATCTAATGATGGAGGAGATTAACGAGGATGGACAAAAACGCATTCATTAGTTCCTCCACCTTGTTCCACTATCTCCTAATGAAGTTATTCATCATGGTGGCTAATTGAATATTGCGGAAATCCTTCACTGCGCTGCAAGGTTCCAGCATCAATCACCCACACAGCAGACAGTGATGTAGATGACTATTATTGGTCAATGATGGAGATCGACAGGCTCTTACCAGAAAGACCATGAATGACCGCCATTATGGAGAGCCTCACCAGCCATTCACTGAGAAACATAAAAGTGTCTATATAGTTACATATGGCTGAAAAAAGACAAAAGTCCATCAAGTTCAACCATATAGAGTTGTGTTCAAAATAATAGCCGTGTGTTGAGAAAAGTGAAATAAAGCTCAAAATCCTTCTAATAGCTTTTATTTCCATCCACACAAATACATTGGGAACACGACACATTCTATTCCAAATCAAAACATGAAGAAAAATACATCAAATTTGTGTTGTTCCTCTAAAAAAATTGAAGAAAAGTGAATATTAGACTGTTCAAAAAAATAGCAGTGTTTGTATTCTTCTTTACAAACTCAAACATTCACTATATAAACTGAAAAATGTTTGAAGATTTTGCTTTCCTTTGAATGACTTCATGAATATTTGGTTGTAGTCGCACTGTTTCTGAGAACTGCTGTACATCTGTGTTGCATGGAGTCACCCAACTTCTGGCCCCTGTGATCAGGTATTCCAGCCCAGGATGATTGGACCACATTCCACAGTTCTTCTCTATTTCTTGGTTTTGCCTCAGAAACGGCATTTTTGATGTCACCCAAGTTTTCTATTGGATTAAGATCCGGGGATTGGGCTGGCCACTCCATAACGTCAATCTTGTTGGTCTGGAACCAAGATGTTGCACGTTTACTGGTGTGTTTGGGGTCGTTGTCTTGTTGGAACACCCATTTCAAGGGCATTTCCTCTTCAGCATAAGGCAGCATGACCTCTTCAAGTATTCTGATGTATTCAAACTGATCCATGATCCCTGGTATGCAATAAATAGGCCCAACACCGTAGTATGAGAAACATCCCCATATCATGATGCTTGCACCACCATGCTTCACGGTCTTCACAGTGTACTGTGGCTTGAATTCAGTGTTTGGGGGTCGCCTGACAAACTGTCTCTGCCCACTAGACCCAAAAAGAACAATCTTACTTTCATCAGTCCACAAAATGTTGCGCCATTTCTCTTTAGGCCAGTCAATGTGCTCTTTGGCAAATTGTAACCTCTTCAGCACGTCTTTTTTCCAACAGTGGGACTTTGCGGGGGCTTCTTGCAGATAGCTTGGCTTCACATAGGCGTCTTCTAATTGTAACAGTCCTCACAGGGAACGTCACACCTTCTTTCATCTTCCTGGAGCTGATTGTTGGCTGAGTCCGCACCATTTTGGCTATTCTTTTATCCATTCCAATGGTAGTTTTTCGCTTTCTTCCGCGTCTTTCAGGTTTTGGTTGCCATTTTAAAGCATTTGCAATCATTTTAGCTGAGCAGCCGATCATTTTCTGCACTTCTTTATATGTTTTCCCCTCTCCAATCAACTTTTTAATCAAGGTACGCTGTTCTTCTGAACAATGTCTGGAACGACCCATTTTCCTCAGAATTTCAGAGAGAAATGCACTGTAACCAGCATGTACAACATTTGCTGCCTTCCTTCCTTATATAAGGGCAATAATTGCCACCTGTTTTTCAAAGAATAAATGACCTCACTAATAGAACTCCACACGGCTATTATTTTGAACATGCCCCTTTCAATTAGTGATTCAATTACACAGAATCAGCAGCATGCATGTCATGACTGTTGGGTCTGTTGGATTTCTATTACTCTACTACACCTGCTAGTAAATTATTTGCCATGTAGAAATATAATTTCTACCAAAAACAGTGATTGATCCGGTTAGTGATGTCTGACGGCTATTATTTTGAACACAACTGTATGTCAGGCTGATCTCTGATTTCAGCTGTCAGCACTGATCTGAGCTCTACAGCCCCAGGCATCTGATGAACTACTGTTTCTCCAACCTGAATAATGAGCCATGAACACGCAGACAAGTCATCCAATAAAGATGTATTACAATGTATATAAAACTCCACAAACATGAAGGATGGGGCAAGAATCCTCAGAACCACTCTGGGACAGATAAGATGTTAATGTGGATCTATCAAGATTGCTTTACGGGGGCTGCCATTACTGACGTCTCCCATTGAGAATGCTCATCCCCTGGCTGTCATCTTGAGGTTCTGGCTTCAGTGCTGAGTCTTTGACCCAGAAGACGTATAGAGATGATGGACTCTGACACTTGTGTATGTTGTGCTTGTTCCGGGTATCTAAGTGCAGGTCAGACACATCCAGGGAAGGGGCATTTTCAGCAAGACACCAGTAATGGGGTGCACATGCTCACTTTATTTCGAAGGCCCCTTCATTTCCTCCATCTGTAGTAAATCCTAACACACATAAAAGTGTTGTAGCCATCTTTGATGGTGATGTGTGCTGGTGATCCTGGACCATCCCCCACCTCTCCTGTCCTAGCATTGGAATATCACCAGAGTGGAGTGACTCCGTGACGCAATAATCTAGGATTGGCTGTAGACTGGGAGACATTCCAGAAAGATCAGATTTTTTATTTATACTGCCCACGGTAGTGTCACATATCTCCAAGGAGAGGAGGCGACACCATATGCCTGGCAAGGGGGCGACGTCGTGCTCCATCTGGGACACGAAGGGTGAAGGGACTTGTCTGGAGTCATCAGGATTTGCGGATTTCTAGGATTATCTCTCCATCAGTTCACTGATGGCCATTAATAATCCTTTCCACCCGTTCTGTGTTCTTTCCCTGACAGAGCTCCTGCTACGACTGTATGACAATGTCAATAAATAAAGCAATGAATCTGACGCAGCGCAGTGTGTGTTCTGTATGTTGTCTGCATTACTGTGAGGGGAATACATTATGTTACACCCCAGACCTCTTGTGAGGGGTTCCCAGGTTTGGGTAAATGGAGGGCTCACCAGATCAGTGTGTCCCCTTATGGATAATTACTGGCAGTACTAGGGTCGTTGGTTCGAATCCCAACCACGGCACCACCTGCCTGGAGTTTGCATGTTCTCCCTGTGCCTGCGTGGGTTTCCTCCTGGTACTCCGGTTTCCTCCACACTCCAAAGACATGCTGGTAGGTGAATTGGCTCCTGTCTAAATTGTCCCTAGTATGTGTATGTATGAATGAGAGTGAGTTAGGGACCTTAGATTGTACGCCCCTTGAGGGTTAGGGACCTTAGATTGTACACCCCTTGAGGGTTAGGGACCTTAGATTGTACACCCCTTGAGGGTTAGGGACTGATGTGAATGTACAATATATATGTAAAGCGCAGCGTAATTGATGGCGCTATATAAGTACCTGAAATAAATAAATTACAGCAGGAACAGGATTAGGAAAAACCTGTCCTGGGGAAGCAGAGCACAAAGGACTAGTCCTCGTATTGCCCGTGGTCTCCCTGCAGCTGATCTTCTCCCCATTATTGACCAACCATGCTTTGTTCTGCACTGTGTCTGGTGATCTGATGACCGGTGATCAGATATCTGGTGGTCTAAGGATAGATGATCCGATGACTGGTGATCTGAAAACAGGTGATCTGATGACGTTGGTCTGATGGAAGGTGATCTGATGTCTGATGATCCAAAGATTGGTGACCCAATGACTGCTGATTTGATGATGAGTGATCTGGTGACTATTGTTCTGATGACGGGTAATCAGATGACAGGTGATCTGATGTCTGGTCATCCAAAGACGGGTGACCTAGTGACCGATGTTCCGATGATGAGTGATCTAAAGAGTAGTAATCTGATGATGAGCCATCTGATGACTGGTGGTCTGATGATGGGTAATCTGATTGGTCATCTGATGACTGGTGATCTGATAACTGATAGTCAGATGATGGGTGATCCATTGACTGATGATCTGAACTGATGACTGGTGATACGATGACTGGTGGTGCAATAACAGGTGATCTGATGACTGGTGGTCCAATTACTGGTGATGTGAATTGATGATTAGATGATGGGTGATCTGATAGATGGGGATCTGATAAGGGCAGTCTGATGATTGGTTGGATAATGACTTGCGGCATCGTGGCAGATGATCTAATGACTGGTGACCAGGTGACAGATGATCTAATGACTGGTGACCAGGTGACAGATGATCTAATGACTGGTGACCAGGTGGCAGATGATCTAATGACTAGTGATTTGATGACTGATGGTATAATGACAAGGTGATCTGATGATGAATGATCCGATTACTGGTGATGTGATAACCAGTGATCTGATAATTGATGATCAGGTGATAACAGATGACCTGTTGATGGATGATGTGATGACTGGGGATCTGAAAATGGGTCATCTAAATGGTGGTGATCAGATGAGGGCTATGTGATGACTGGTGAGATAATGATAGAGGTGGGGGAAGCACACATTCACAGAATGAATGAAGTAGAAGCAGGGAGATACTTGCACTGTGCGACATCAGGTACAACTTCCTCTCCAGTAAGAACAGCGATCGGTGCAGTGGTGACATCACCAAATCACACACCAAATCTGCTGAGACTATCCGCCAGAGCTAGCAGTGCCTTAAATGTTCCCACACTACAGAAATACCGCTATGAGGCTAAAGTGCTCTGATATCAGGACTGTCCAGGTACATGAAGTACTCTATTAGGAGAGCCTAGGCACAGGAAGTGCATTGATATAAGGAGTGCCTAGGCGCAGGAAGTGCATGAGGACTCTCCAGGTACATGAAGTGCTCTGATATCAGGACTGTCCCAGTACAGGAAGTGCTCTGATATCGGGAGTGCCTAGGCACAGGAAGTGCTCTGATATCAGGACTGTCCCAGTACAGGAAGTGCTCTGATAACATGACTGTCCCAGTAGAGGAAGTGCTTTAATATCAGGAGTGCCTTGGCACAGGAAGTGCACTAAGATAAGGAGTGCCTAGGCTCAGGAAGTGCTCTGATATCAGGACTGTCTTGGTACACAAAGTGCTCTGATATCAGGACTGTCCCAGTACAGGAAGTGCTCTGATATCGGGAGTGCCTACGCACAGGAAGTGCTCTGATATCAGGACTGTCTTGGTACAGGAAGTGCTCTGATATCAGGACTGTCTTGGTACAGGAAGTGCTTTGATATCAGGAATGCCTAGGCACAGGAAGTGCTCTGATATCCAGACTGTCTTGGTACACAAAGTGCTCTGATATCAGGACTGTCTTGGTACAGGAAGTGCTCTGATATCGGGAGTGCCTTGGCACAGGAAGTGCTCTGATATCAGGACTGTCTTGGTACAGGAAGTGCTTTGATATCAGGAGTGCCTAGGCACAGGAAGTGCTCTGATATCAGGACAGGATGTGCTCAGGAGGTTGTTCTTTTAGGGTATGACTTGGGCACATTTCCCTATAAGATGATAAATCTTAATTTTGTAGGGTTCAGCTCCATTATAAATCCTGACCCGGTTGAAAAAGAGACCCTGGAGGGGGGCGGTGCTTTAATACTGGATGGATTCACAGTGGTGTCAATATAAACAATAACAGAACAAATATCAAAATGCAGCTTCACCGGAGTGGAATCGCTGCTATGGGGGGATTATAGATACGGTTACATTCAATATCCGGGTGGAGTCAGTGCTATGATATGGTTACATTGTATCAGTGGGCGGGGTCTGTGTTATAGAGATGGTTACATTGTATCTGTGGGCGGGGTCTGTTATAGATATGGTTACATTGTATCAGTGGGCAGGGTCTGTGTTATAGAGACAGTTACATTGTATCAGTGGGCAGGGTCTGTGTTATAGAGACAGTTACATTGTATCAGTGGGCGGGGTCTGTTATAGAGATGGTTACATTGCATCAGTGGGCGGGGTCTGTGTTATAGAGACAAGTACATTGCATCAGTGGGCGGGGTCTGTGTTATAGAGACAGTTACATTGTATCTGTGGGCGGGGTCTGTGTTAGAGATGTTACATTGTATCAGTGGGCAGGGTCTGTGTTATAGAGACAGTTACATTGTATCTGTGGGCGGGGTCTGTGTTAGAGATGTTACATTGTATCAGTGGGCAGGGTCTGTGTTATAGAGACAGTTACATTGTATCAGTGGGCAGGGTCTGTGTTATAGAGACAGTTACATTGTATCAGTGGGCGGGGTCTGTTATAGAGATGGTTACATTGCATCAGTGGGGGGTCTGTGTTATAGAGACAAGTACATTGCATCAGTGGGCGGGGTCTGTGTTATAGAGACAGTTACATTGTATCTGTGGGCAGGGTCTGTGTTATAGAGACAGTTACATTGTATCTGTGGGCGGGGTCTGTGTTAGAGATGTTACATTGTATCAGTGGGCGGGATCTGTTAGAGATGTTACATTGTATCAGTGGGTGGGGTCTGTGTTAGAGATGTTACATTGCATTAGTGGGCGGGGTCTGTGTTAGAGATGTTACATTGTATCAGTGGGCGGGGTCTGTTAGAGATGTTACATTGCATTGGTGGGCGGGGTCTGTGTTAGAGATGTTACATTGTATCAGTGGGCGGGGTCTGTGTTAGAGATGTTACATTGTATCAGTGGGCGGGGTCTGTTAGAGATGTTACATTGTATCAGTGAGCGGGGTCTGTTAGAGATGTTACATTGTATCAGTGGGTGGGGTCTGTGTTAGAGATGTTACATTGCATTAGTGGGCGGGGTCTGTGTTAGAGATGTTACATTGTATCAGTGGGCGGGGTCTGTGTTAGAAATGTTACATTGTATCAGTAGGCGGGGTCTGAGAGATGGGAGGTGTTTTCTCCTCAATATTCTGCAGAAAGAAGCCCCATTCCCGGGAGATCCCCGCCTCTGTATGTCAGAGAATATAATAAACACCGGAGAGCCCCTCCCCCCCCCCAGAGCTGAAGATGAAGTTTTGGTTTTTCATACATTTGAAACGTTTAGCTGTGATTTCCCTCCCAATCCTCCCCACCGGATGTACACAGGACCCCCCCCCCCCGCCGTGGGTGATCGGTGCTATGTGACCAACACTTCCCATCCCCCACCCCCGACCGTTATCTCCATCCTCCGTAGGTGGGGATCGGGGACTCCGGGTACTGGGCGGAGCCCGGGGAGGGGCTGCACGGATTGGGCGGAGTCTCCGATTGATGAAAGCCCAGTGCAGATTCGCTCCGCCCAGACCCCCCGCCTCCTCTATAATGAACAGCCTTGGAGGCCCCGCCCCTGAGCGGGCTCCGGAGGGATGAGGATGAGGTGGTTGGGCGGTTCCTGAGGGTCCCGGGATGTCGGAGGGGCCCCAGGAGGACGGAGGGGCCCCGTTCTATATAAACCGGGGGGGCCTCCCCCATCCAGGCCGACACATGGGAGAGGATGTGGGGGCACATCGTCCGGACACACCCGGCCGCGGAGGAGCTGGAGAGGCAGATCAGATCGGCCACCGACCTGCCGAGGGTGAGTCCTACCGCTAGGTAAAGGATCACCCACCATCCTCCCCATCATCCCCCCCATCATCATCCTCCACATCCCCCCCATCATCATCCTCCACATCCCCCCCATCATCATCCTCCACATCCCCCCGTCATCCTCCACCTCATCATTCTCCCCAATCCCCCCCCCTCCCCCCCCATCATCATCATCTTCCTCCCCACCCCCCCCCCCCCTCCCAGTCGTCATCATCCTCCCCATCCCCGCCATCATCATAATCATCATCCTCCCTATTCCCCTCCTCATCATCTCCCAATCATCATCATCCTCCCTCCCCACCACCCCATCATCATCATCACCCCCTCCCAATCATCTTCCTTCCCATCCCCCATTATCATCATTATCCTCCCCATCATCATCACCACCCTCCCCATCCCCCCCCCATTATCATTATCCTCCCCATCCCCCTATCATCATCCTCCCCATCCCCCCCCCCTCCTCTTCCCTCCCCTCCTCCCGATCATCATCCTCCAGCCCCCCCATCATCCATCCCCACCACCCCATCATCATCTTCCCCCCAATCATCATCCCCATCCCCCCATCATCCCTCCCTCCTCATCATCCCTTTCCACCACCCCATCATCATCATCATCCTCCCCAGCCCCCCCCCTCTCCTCATCATCCCTCCCCACCACCCCATCATCATCATCTTCCTCCCCCATCATCATTTTTTCCTCCCCAGCCCCCCCCCCCTCCTCATCATCCACCCCATCCCCCCTCCCAATTATCATCCTTCCCATCCTCCCTTCTCCTCATCACACCCCCTTCCGATCATCATCCCCCACATCATCATCATCCCAATCCCATCATCATCATCCTCCCCATCCTCATTATCCCTCCCCCCTCCCAATCATCATCCTCATCACCATACTATCTCCATCCCCCTCCTCCACCCATCACTGACCCCCTCTTATCACAATCTGCCCTCCATCAGTGAGTTGACCCCATCCCCCCCCACCCCCCCCCCCCCAGGTATCATCACCATCTCCTTCAGCAACCCCCTATTATCACCCCCCCTCCTCCACCCATCACTGGCCTCCTTATTACTAGCACCACCCCCCTCCATCACTGACCCCCTATTATCACCCCCCCCATCACCAATCACTGACCCCCTATTATCACCCCCCCCATCACTGACCCCCTATTTTTACCCCCCTCCATCACTGACCCCCTATTATCACCCCCCCCCATCACCAATCACCGACCCCCTATTATCACCCCCCTCCATTACTGACCCCCTATTATCACCCCCCCATATCACCAGTCACTGACCCCCTATTATCACCCCCCCCCCCGATCACCAATCACTGACCCCCTATTATCACCCCCCCCCCCTCGATCACCAGTCACTGACCCCCTATTATCACCAATCACTCACCCCCTGTTATCACCATCCCCCCCCCACCATCACCAATCACTGACCCCCTATTATCACCCCCTCCATCACTGACCCCCTATTTTTACCCCCCTCCATCACTGACCCCCTATTATCACCCCCCCCATCACCAATCACCGACCCCCTATTATCACCCCCCTCCATCACTGACCCCCTATTATCACCCCCCCATCACCAATCACTGACCCCCCATTATCACCCCCCCCCTTGATCACCAGTCACTGACCCCCTATTATCACCAATCACTCACCCCCTGTTATCACCATCCCCCCCCCCACCATCACCAATCACTGATCCCCTATTATCACCCCCCCATCACCAATCACTGACCCCCTATTATCACCATCCCCCCCTCCACCACCAATCACTGACCCCCATTATCACCATCCCCCCCCCTCCACCACCAATCACTGACCCCCTATTATTAGTATCCCCCCCTCCACCACCAATCACTGACCCCCATTATCACCATCCCCCCCCTCCACCACCAATCACTGACCCCCTATTATTAGTATCCCCCCCCCCCTCCACCACCAATCACTGACCACCTATTATCACCATTCCCCCTCCACCACCAATCACTGACCCCCTATTATCACCATCCCCCCCCTCCACCACCAATCACTTACCCCCTATTATTCCCATCCCCCTCCCCCCTCCGCCACCAATCGCTGACCCCTGTACTGTCATCACTAACTTCCCCCCCATCACCATCATCACTGTCCCCATATTGACCTTCCCCCATCCTAAATGCCCCCCCTCACTATCTATTCTACTCTCACTGCCCCCTCATTATCATCCCCCATTTCCACTCCCCCTAGGCACCATCTCCCATCCTCCAGGCACCATCTCCCATCTTTACTGCCCCACGTCATCGCCCTCTGCCCTCACTGCCCCATCTCCTCTTGGCAGGTGCCAGTCCCCGTGGTCCCGGTGTTCAGTGTGGGATCCACTGTCCCAGAGAAGGTGGAGGCCGTCCAGCGATACATCAGAGAGCTGCAGTATCCTTTCTACCCTCTGCTGTGCTTGGGGGTGCCCAGTTACCGACGGATTGTATGGTGGGGTCCATTCTGGGGGCGGGGTACTGAGACATAGGGGTACGGGGGTATCCCAGGTGTGATGTGGGGTTTCTGCAGTTATTAGGGGAGGTGAATCGTCTCTCGTCTGTCTTTCCAATACCTCATCATTCAGATACAACCACACCGGGACCCAATTCTTCGAGATCAAGAAGACCCGACCACTGACTGGGTATGGGGAAGATAAGAGGGTGATAGGAACACTGTAGGGGGATGATGGTGATAAAGTATTGGGGGGGGCGATGGAGATGATGTGGAGGTTCCAGGGGGATGACTGTGATGAGGTAGTGATGGAGAGGTGAGCAGTTCAGGGCTTGACAATTCCCAGATGCCAGGTTGCAATGGCGACTAGAAATTTCATCCTGGCGCCTGCGTTCACACACTTCCTCCCACTGACTTCAATTCAAAATCATGCCCCATTGCCTTCAATGCAAAATCGCCTCCCATTGCCTTCAATGCAAAATCGCCTCCCATTGCCTTCAATGCAAAATCGCCTCCCATTGCCTTCAATGCAAAATCGCCTCCCGTTGCCTTCAATGCAAAATCGCCTCCCATTGGCTTCAGTGCAAAATCGCCTCTCATTGCCTTCAGTGCAAAATCGCGTCCCTATTGCCTTCAATGCAAAATCGTCTCTCATTGCCTTCAATGCAAAAACGCACCCCATTTTCATTAGTAAGACCTCATCTGGAATATGCAGTTCAGTTTTGGGCACCAATTCACAAAAAGAACATTGGGGAACTGGAGAAGTACAGAGAAGGGCAACCAAACTGATAAGAGGCATGGAGGGGCTCAGCTATGAGGAAAGATTAGAGGAACTGAATTTATTCTCTTTTAAGAAGAGATTAGGGGGGATATGATCTCCATGTATAATACATAAGGGGGGATGATATGATCTCCATGTATATACATACATAAGAGGGGATATGATCTCCATGTATAAAATACATAAGGGGGGGATATGATCTCCGTGTATAATACATAAGGGGGATATGATCTCCATGTATAATACATAAGGGGGGATATGATCACCATGTATAATACATAAGGGGGGATATGATCTCCATGTATAATACATAAGGGGGATACGATCTCCACGTATAATACATAAGGGGGGATATGATCTCCATGTATAATACATAAGGGGGATATGATCTCCATGTATAATACATAAGGGGGGGATATGATCTCCATGTATAATACATAAGGGGGATACGATCTCCACGTATAATACATAAGGGGGGATATGATCTCCATGTATAATACATAAGGGGGGATGTGATCTCCATGTATAATACATAAGGGGGGGGTATGATCTCCATGTATAATACATAAGGGGGGATATGATCTCCATGTATAATACATAAGGGGGGATATGATCTCCATGTATAATACATAAGGGGGATATGATCTCCATGTATAATACATAAGGGGGGATGTGATCTCCATGTATAATACATAAGGGGGGGGGGGGGGGGTATGATCTCCATGTATAATACATAAGGCGGGGATATGATCTCCATGTATAATACATAAGGGGGGATATGATCTCCATGTATAATACATAAGGGGGGATATGATCTCCATGTATAATACATAAGGGGGGATATGACCTCCATGTATAATACATAAGGGGGATATGATCTCCATGTATAATACATAAGGGGGGATATGATCTCCATGTATAATACATAAGGGGGATATGATCACCATGTATATTACATAAGGGGGGATATGATCTCCATGTATAATACATAAGGGGGGATATGATCACCATGTATATTACATAAGGGGGGATATGATCACCATGTATATTACATAAGGGGGGATATGATCACCATGTATAATACATAAGGGGGGGATATGATCTCCATGTATAATACATAAGGGGGGGGGATATGATCTCCATGTATAAATACATAAGGGGGGATATGATCTCCATGTATAAATACATAAGGGGGGGATATGATCTCCATGTATAATACATAAGGGGGGATATGATCTCCACGTATAATACATAAGGGGGGATATGATCTCCACGTATAATACATAAGGGGGGATATGATCTCCATGTATAATACATAAGGGGGATATGATCTCCATGTATAAATACATCAGTGGTTCATATAGTGAACTCGGTGTAGAGTTATTCATCCTGAGGTCATCACAGAGGACAAGGGGGCACTCTTTACATCTGGAGGAAAAGAAATGTAATCTCCAAACACGGAAAGGTTTCTTCACAGTAAGAGCTGTGAAAATGTGGAATAGACTCCCTCAAGAGTTGGTTTGGCCAGCTCAGTGGATTGCTGTAGGAAAGTCCTGGATTCTTTCTTGGATACACAGAATATAACTGGATATAACATTTATAGGTAAAGTTGATCCAGGGAATATCCGATTGCCAGGAAGGAATATTTCCCCTGAAGGAGCAAATTGGATCGTGCTTTGCTGGGTTTTTTTTTTTGCCTTCCTCTGGATCAACTGTTGGTATAGGATTATAACTTTTTTTTTTTTTTTTTTTTTATGGTTGAACTGGATGGACTTTTGTTCTTTTTCAGCCAGACTAACTATGTAACTCTGATGATGAGGTGGTGGAGATGGTGGTGATGGGTAAGGTGATCAGTCCTGATAATATTTTTCTCTCCAGTAGACTGATGGAAGTGTTGGAGGAGGATGATGATGGACATTTGGGATGGGTGATGATGGGGAGGTGACCAGTTCTGATTGTCTTTCTCTTTGGCAGATTGATGGACCTAGCGAAGGAGATGACCAAAGAAGCTCTGCCAATCAAATGTCTGGAGGCCGTCATTCTGGCCATGTATCCTTTTATTCACGCCACAGGTTTGTGTCAGGGAACTTCGTGTTCTCTCCACCCATGTGTCCTGCCTCCAGGATTTACATTCCACCAAGGGCACTATGAGCTATAATGTGTGGCTCTGTACAGGCTGTGCTCAGGCCGTCGCAGTGCTGAGAGCTGGGTATAGCAGGGTTAATTCAGAAAAATTTTAATTTTGCAAGTAAAATTTTGGTAAATAGGGTGAAGCTGTTCATTTCAAATATTCAGTTGTGTGAAAAAATGGACAAAAATAATTAAGAAGCTCATTAGCACGTGATTTGGTTTCAAGGTGGATGCAACTTTACCTTATTTACTTACATTCACTGTGCTTTGTATGATGGCGGTGCTCTGTGTGACATGAGGGCGCGGTGGTCTGTATGAAGAGGGATGGTGGCATTCTCCATGACATGGGAAGGCGGAGCTCTGTGTGATGGGAAGGCAGTGCGTTGTGTGGTGCAGGATGGTGGTAGTAGTCTGGTGCCGGGAGATGTTGGTGCTCTGTAATGTGGATGTTCCCCGGGAACTGTGTGACGTGGGGTGTTGGTGGCCTGTATGACAGGTTGGTGGTGATTTGGGTGTTCTCTGGGATGGTGGAGCTGTGTGATGTGGGGTGTTGGTGGTCTGTATGACAGGTTGGTGGTGCTATGTGATTTGGGTGTTCTCTGAGATGGTGGAATGGTGTGATGTGGGGTGTGTTGGTGGTCTGTATGACAGGTTGGCGGTGCTATGTGATTTTGGGTGTTCTCTGGGATGGTGGAACGGTGTGATGTGGGGTGTTGGTGGCCTGTATGACAGGTTGGCGGTGCTGTGTGTGATTGGGTGTTCTCTGGGATGGTGGAGCTGTGTGATGTGATGGGGTGTTGGTGGCCTGTATGACAGGTTGGTGGTGCTATGTGATTTGGGTGTTCTCTGAGATGGTGGAATGGTGTGATGTGGGGTGTTGGTGGTCTGTATGACAGGTTGGCGGTGCTATGTGATTTTGGGTGTTCTCTGGGATGGTGGAATGGTGTGATGTGGGGTGTTGGTGCCTTGTATGACAGGTTGACGGTGCTATGTGATTTGGGGTGTTCTCTGGGATGGTGGAGCTGTGTGATGTGGGTGTTGGTGGCCTGTATGACAGGTTGGCGGTGCTATGTGATTTGGATGTTCTCTGAGATGGTGGAGCTGTGTGATGTGGGGTGTTGGTGGCCTGTATGGCAGGTTGGCGGTGCTCTGTGTAATTTGGGTGTTCTCCAGGATGGTGGAACGGTGTGTGATGTGGGGTGTTGGTGGCCTGTATGACAGGTTGGTGGTGCTATGTGATTTGGGTGTTCTCCAGGATGGTGGAACGGTGTGATGTGGGGTGTTGGTGGCCTGTATGACAGGTTGGTGGTGCTATGTGATTTGGGTGTTCTCTGAGATGGTGGAATGGTGTGATGTGGGGGGGTGTTGGTGGTCTGTATGACAGGTTGGCGGTGCTATGTGATTTTGGGTGTTCTCTGGGATGGTGGAGCTGTGTGATGTGGGGTGTTGGTGGCCTGTATGGCAGGTTGGCGGTGCTCTGTGTAATTTGGGTGTTCTCCAGGATGGTGGAACGGTGTGATGTGGGGTGTTGGTGGCCTGTATGACAGGTTGGTGGTGATTTGGGTGTTCTCTGGGATGGTGGAGCTGTGTGATGTGGGGTGTTGGTGGTCTGTATGACAGGTTGGTGGTGCTATGTGATTTTGGTGTTCTCTGAGATGGTGGAATGGTGTGATGTGGGGTGTTGGTGGTCTGTATGACAGGTTGGCGGTGCTATGTGATTTTGGGTGTTCTCTGGGATGGTGGAACGGTGTGATGTGGGGTGTTGGTGGCCTGTATGACAGGTTGGCGGTGTATGTGTGTGTGTGTGATTGGGTGTTCTCTGGGATGGTGGAGCTGTGTGATGTGGGGTGTTGGTGGCCTGTATGACAGGTTGGTGGTGCTATGTGATTTGGGTGTTCTCTGAGATGGTGGAATGGTGTGATGTGGGTGTTGGTGGTCTGTATGACAGGTTGGCGGTGCTATGTGATTTTGGGTGTTCTCTGGGATGGTGGAATGGTGTGATGTGGGGTGTTGGTGCCTTGTATGACAGGTTGACGGTGCTATGTGATTTGGGTGTTCTCTGGGATGGTGGAGCTGTGTGATGTGGGGTGTTGGTGGCCTGTATGACAGGTTGGCGGTGCTATGTGATTTGGGTGTTCTCTGGGATGGTGGAGCTGTGTGATGTGGGTGTTGGTGCCCTGTATGACAGGTTGGCGGTGCTCTGTGTAATTTGGGTGTTCTCCAGGATGGTGGAACTGCGGGATGTGGGGTGTTGGTGGACTGTATGACAGGTTGGCGGTGCTCTGTGTAATTTGGGTGTTCTCTGAGATGGTGGAATTGTGTGATGTGGGGTGTTGGTGGCCTGTATGACAGGTTGGCGGTGCTCTGTGTAATTTGGGTGTTCTCCAGGATGGTGGAACTGTGTGATGTGGGGTGTTGGTGGACTGTAGGACACAGGTTGGCAGTGCTCTGTTTGATGTGGGTGTTCTCCATGCTGTGGGGTGACAGATCTCCATGTGACCTGAGATGACTGTATTCTCCATGGTATGGAATAGGGGTGCTGTGTACAGATGTATTATATTTCTACCTTTCGTTGACTTCCTGACCTCCCTCCGCAGCTATCTAACCAACAGCATCTCCACCCTAGAGCGCTTCCCCATCAGTTTCAAGACTCAGTTCTCTGGCGGCTGTTTCCGCCACATTGTTCTTGGCTTATACTGTAACGGGTATTTCGGTGCCGTGGGAATCAGCCGCCGGGAGGACCTGATGTTCAAGCCACTCCACTATCGGACACTCAGTGATCTGTTGGCAGATTTCCAGGAGGCGTACACTCGATGTTGGCACACGCTGCGCAAGGTGAAGATTGGCCCCTTTGTGTCACATGACCCCCACAGCGTGGAGCAAATCGACTGGAAGCATTCGGTGCTGGACGTACAGGAGCTGAGCGCCGAGGGGCTCCGCAGGGAGCTGGAGAGACACAGCAGGGAGATGAGACTCAGGGTAAGGGAGGAATGCAGGTCTCTGAGGGGTGGGATTCTGGATACCCCCATTGTGCGACATGACCCCCCCCCAATAATCCTTTCCTTCTCAGATTACCAAGGGACCCCCTTCACCTCCTAAGGAGAGAAAGAGGGACGTCACCCCATCTCCCCAGCGAGGACAGTCCAGCCCACACCGCAGGGAGCGGCAGGACAGACGGTAACACAGACATTCTTACTTCATATTAATTCTACCAATGTGCACGGGAAAGTTGTGTTTATAATGGCTTCCTTTTAGGCTGAAGGTGGTAACAGGTTTATTATATTAGCTTTGAATTCTTCAATCATCTCTTCACTGTATTCTGAAACCACAAATAGAAGCCGCGTACCTGGATTGGTGCAACTTCAGTAAAACCTTGGGAGCCGCACCCCGACCCAACACTGTGGGAATGGCCTGTAACGTTGCTTTGGACACTGGAGCCTGTACAGGTGGTCCCCTTGCCACTTGGTACAATGTGCTGTAGTCAGTCATAGGGTGCTATACAGGTCCATGGCTGTGGTTCATCTTTATGGAACCCAGACCCTAAAGACCCCTTCAAGGCTATGCCCACCCATATGGAAGAAAAATATCTTTGAAATCCATTTTAAAAATATGCTTCCCAAATATATTGAAATATTTGAAATACTACAATTTTGGCCGTATTCAATATAATTAAAAAAAAAAAAAAAAAATTATATATATATATATATATATATATATATATATATATATATATATATATATATATATATATACTGCATGCTGAAATGCGTTTTTTTATATATTACAAAATACATGAAAAAATAATATTTTTTAAAAAAAATATATATATTAAATATATTCTTCAGATTTGTTTTTAACACATATATTTTTACATAGATTTGTAAATGCATTAATGCATTCCAAAAATGTAGATTTGTATTTTTAAAGACATACAGTATATTTTAAATTTATTTTAAAAATATTTTTCATATATTTTGTTATAAAACCGCATTTCAACATACAGCATGTATGTTTGTGTGTATGTGTGTGTAATAAATATATATACAATGAAGGAAATAAGTATTTGCTCCCCGGCTGATTCTGAATGTTTGCCCACTCACAAAGAAATGATCAGTCTACAAATCGAATGTTCGGTGTATTGTAACACTGAGAGACAGAATAGACAAAAAATTCAGCAGAAATGCATGTCTAACAAATGATGACTGATTGGCATATTCATGAGGGAAATAAGTATTTGATCCCCTTCACAAAACATGACTTAGTACTTGGTGGCAAATCCCTTGTTGGCCATCACAGAGGTCAGACTGTTCCTGTAGTTGGCCCCCAGGTTTTCACACATCTCAGGAGAGATTTTGGCCCACTCCTCTTGGCAGATCCTCTCCAAGTCATTAAGGTTTGGTGGCTGACGTTTGGCAACTCGAACTTTCAGCTCCCTCAACAGATTAAGGTCTGGAGACTGGCTAGGCCACTCAAGGACCTTAACCCAAATCACATAGCACCGCCAACCTGTCATACAGGCCACCAACACCCCACATCACACAGCTCCACCATCCCAGAGATGGTACTCACTGCCCAGCATGTGCAAAAGTAACACCGCACAGGTCAAACAATGCAATGTGACACACAGTCTTCCATTGTGTTGAAAGTCTTTGTGGGGAGCCAGTGATGGGTGTATTGGATGATATCTAACCAGTAATCCCCGGCTTCCTCAGTGGACGTTCTCTTTGGGAGAAGTAGTGGATGGGATTTTAAAGAATTCCAGGTTTGGATATTTCTATACAGGTTACATTGGTCCAGCTTGGACCAGCATAACTATGCATATACCCTACCTGTGGGATTCCCCTTGGAAGTATCGCTGTAGTAGGGAACTCTACTATAGTGATCTCCACTTGCCTCCAGGTCCCGTGCTGCGTGGATGCCCTGCTGCATTGTGATCACAGGAGGTCACCTGCTTGGCAGGGGTGCCATTTTGAGGTTACTTACTTAGTCTGGCTGAAAAAAGACAAACGTTCATCCAGTTCAACCATTAAAAAATAGATAATCAGAACTGGTCTCATCACCATCCCAAACGTCCATCATCATCATCCTCCTCCAACACTTCCATCAGTCTACTGGAGAGAAATACTTTTAGGATTGATCATCTTCCCCATCATCACCATCTCCACCACCTCATCAGAGTTACAAAGTCAGGGGCGGACTGACAACTCATGGGGCCCCCAGGCAATAGGGGATCATGGGGCCCCTGTTTCCTTGCCCAAACTCAAAAATGCCTATGAAAATGGTACCAGGGGCATCTCATGGGGCCCCCCACTGACCCCGGGCCCTCGGGCAGTGCCTGAGCTTCCAAATGGTCAGTCCGCCCCTGTTACATAGTCTTGCTGAAAAGTCCAATCCAGTTCAACCATTAAAAAAAAAAAGTTACAATCCTATACCCACAGTTGATCCAGAGGAAGGCAAAAAAAAACCCAGCAAAGAATGATCCAATTTGCTCCTGCAGGGGAAAAAATTCCTTCCTGATCCCGAGAGGCAATCGGATATTCCCTGGATCAACTTTACTTATAAATGTTATATTCTGTGTATCCAAGAAAGAATTCAGGACTTTCCTACAGCAATCCACTGAGCTGGCCAGAACCAACTCTTGAGGGAGTCTATTCCACATTTTCACAGCTCTTACTGTGAAGAAACCTTTCCATGTTTGGAGATTAAATCTCTTTTCCTCCAGACATAAAGAGAGCACCCCCTTGTCCTCTGTGATGACCTCAGGGTGAATAGCTTTGCCTTTTATCAGTGAATGCAAAGCATTCTGTGTATATGAATGAGGTGCAGACTTGTGGGAGTGACATCACACATTCCACCTCTTCCAATCAGAGAATACAAAACATTCTCTGGCACCAAGGCCCAGAGGTAAACCTGTGTTCACTGAGCAACAGGGCAGCCTCTTGGAACGGGAGCCCAAAGCTAGTGGAGATCACTGTACTAGTGGTGTGTACTCTGAGTTCCAGCGAAGATCCCACACAGGTAGGACAATTGCATAGTTACATTGGTGCAAGGTGGAACAATGTAACTACGTCAAAATATTCATACCTGGAATTCAGCTTCAATAGGCTCCGATTATTATATATATATATTTTTTTTTTTACAAATATTTTGCACATTAAATGATCTGAGATGGAGACATGGCTAATGAAGTATTTACAAGTTTGATGGTTTACTAAATAATACAGATAAAAGTCTATTAGTCCAATTAGTAGGGCTTAAAGCGGAGTTCCACTCACCTGTCCAAAAATAAAAGTCCGCAGCTACAAAAACTGTAGCTGCTGACTTTCAAAAAACAGCCACTTACCTGTCCCTCGGTCCCGTGGTGTGTCCCCCATTTCACCGGCCGTCCTGTCTTCCAACAGGCCGGCATCTTCAGTGTGGGCACCCGGCTGTGATAGCTTGCGGCTTCACAGCCGGGTACCCACTGCGCATGCGCGAGTAGTGCTGCGCTTCATGAATGGTCCTGTAGTCTTCTGGGGACCTGTCACATGTCCTACAAGACTACAGGGAGGGAGGACACCTTCCGATCAACTAGGCCAGGGGTAGGCAACCTGCGGCTCTCCAGCTGTTTCAGGACTACAGGTTCCATCATGCCTCTGCAAGTCATAGCTGTAACTGTCATTCTTGTAATGTTTCCCTCCTGGGAAATGTAGTTTCACAACAGCTAGAGAGCTGCAGGTTGCCTACCCCTGACCTAGGCAATCGGACCGGAAGTGGGAGCGGGAACCTGTCAAATTTGGGTACCTGCTCAAAGTATTTCATCATAAATCTTGGCCAAAATTTATTCTGTTATCTTTTTAGTAAAAAAAAAATAACCCAAATTAGTTTATAACCAAAAATTATAATTTTTAAACATTTTTTTTTTAATTTTTTACATACTGTCACCCTAGCACGGGTGTCGGCAACCCGCGGCTCCAGAGCCGCATGCGGCTCTTTTTCATCTTTGCTGCGGCTCCGGAGCACACTGCCCACCAGGTGACAGGCAATAGGGTTTCAGTGGTCGGCAAGCCGCGGATCGCAAGCCACATGCGGCTCTTCTGTGTGCCGGGCGCCCGCTCCCCTCCCTCCTCTCGGGCGGCCGCCTCAAAAGTCAGGACTCTTTTAATCCGGCCCGCGGAGCGTGGAACATTAGCTGTCAGGATGTAGGCGGGGCAGCCAGGATGTAGGCGGGGCAGCGTGACGAACTCCTCTCACAGTCCGCCCTGAAGACCGGAACACAGCGCGGGAACACAGCGAGAGGAACGCGCGGAGCAAAGGTAAGTGAATTGAGACAATATGGGGAATTAATTACTATAGGGGGGATGAATTATTATATGGAGGATTAATTACTATGGGGGATGAATTACTATATGGGGGATGAATTACTATGGGGGATGAATTACTATATGGGGAATGAATTACTATATGGGGGATGAATTACTATATGGGGGATGAATTACTATGGGGGATGAAATACTATAGGGGGGATGAATTACTAATGGGGGATGAAGCTAACTGCACGATCCTGTATATAGGATTAAGGTAAGAAACAATATATGCAGTGTCGGATTTGTTTTAAATGTTGCAATGGTTTTGCGGCTCCCAGTCTTTTTTTTCCCTTCGGAAACGGGTCCAAGTGGCTCTTTATGTCTTAAAAGTTGCAGACCCCTGCCCTAGCAGTACAGTGTCACCATGGTGACACTGTACTACTTGTGGGGGGGTGATGAATATTTTTTTTTTTTTTTTGTACAGATTGCTTTTACACCCATAAAGGATGTAAAAGCAATATTTTCTCCTTTTCGCTAGCTGCATTCTTGCAGCCATTGAGAACTACTGAGTGAGCTGTGATTGGTCACAGCTTGTTACATGGTACAAGGCTGTTGTGAATATCCTTGTACCATGTGACCTCTGTGATCATTCACAGATTTCACACGTAGTAAGCACTGATGTCACAAGTGACATCTTGCTTACTACTCTGCATGTGATCACTGATTGGCCAACGAGTGATCACATGATCGGGACCTCGCACAGAGGTCCCGTCCGACGATCTGTGTTCCACTGTGTCCTCCGGACACAGTGGGCACCGGACCGTGGTGCTGCGCGCTCCCTGGGAGCGCGCACAAGCAGGGTGCGGGGAGGCTGTTTATAAACGACACCCGACCC